TGTCGGCTGGACGCTTCCACAGCCTCGCTATCTCCGCCGACGGACCCTTCTGGAGCTGGGGTGGTGGAGCCTTTGGCCAGCTGGGCCACGGCGACCAGCAGGGCCAGCTGCTTCCAAAGAAGGTCGAGGCCTTCGCTGGGCGGCGCATCGTCGCTGTGTCGGCTGGAGAGCACCACAGTATCGCCCTCACCGCCGACGGCGCCGTCTGGAGCTGGGGCTGGGGAGCCTATGGCCGGTTGGGCCACGGCGACGAGCAGGGTCAGCCGCTGCCCAAGAAGATCGAGGCCTTTGCTGGCCGGCGCATATTAGCTGTGACGGCTGGAGACGCGCACAGCCTCGCCCTCACCGCCGATGGCGCCGTCTGGAGCTGGGGCGATGGATACGGCGGCAAGCTGGGCCACGGCGACGGGCAGAACCAGCTGCTGCCCAAGAAGATCGAGGCCTTGGCTGGCCCGCGCGTCGTCGCTGTGTCGGCCGGAGGCAACCACAACCTCGCCCTTACCGCCAACGGTAGTGTCTGGAGCTGGGGCTGGGGAGCCGGCGGCCAGTTGGGCCACGGCGACGAGCAGACGCAGCTGCTGCCCAAGAAGGTCGAGGGTTTTGCTGGCGAGCGCGTCGCCGCTGTGTCGGCTGGAGAGTACCACAGCATCGCCATCGCCGACGGCGCCGTCTTCACCTGGGGCGGGGGCGACGGCGGCTGCCTAGGCCACGGAGAGGACCTGTCGAAGCAGCTGCTGCCCAAGAAGGTCGAGGCGTGGTCGTTGGGGCCATAGCGTGTGTATGCCCGGAGACACGCTGAAAGAAAGAAATAAAGAAAGAAAACAGACACCCCAAGGGAGGATGTTTTTCTTTTTTGCTACGGCTTGCTGGTGCGCCCGTTCGTAGGAGCTATATTCCGCCGCCCCGCACATTCCTCTGGGCAGCAGCATGCCCCCTCAGCCTCCCGCGCTCCTCGACGACGACGACTGGCTCGCTCCTCCGCTCGAGGCGGCGCTGGGCGAGGTCTTCTGCCGCTTCGACGCCGACGCGGATGGCGCCTGGTCGACGGCAGAGCTGCAGTCGTTTGCGCGCACGTGCAACGGCGGCGATGAGTTCGGTGAGGCGGAGCTGTCGCAGGTGGGCGAGTTCACGACGGACGGGCACGGCCGCCTCACGCGCCGCGGCTTTCTCGAGATGATGCACCTGCAGACGATGGCGCGGCCGGAGGACACTTGGGCGGACCTGCGCGCGCTCGGGTACGACTCGTCGCTCTCGCCAAAGGGCGTGCCCGGCTCGAGCGGCGCCGAGGCGGCGCCGTCGGAGAAGCCAGAGTCGGTGGCAGCGGCGCGGGGCAGTAGAAGCTGACCACGTCTCTTTCCAAGTAGCACTCGTACTCCGCTGCTTCAGCAGTACGCGCAGTACGATGTGCTGCACGACACGTGTATCCACACCCCGACATTGCATTCACACCGTGGGAGCGGGACGCCCGCTCGGCCCATATCTCCCCCACATCTCCTCATAGGAGCGGGATGCCCGCCTCGCGCGCACGCTTCAGAGCGAGGCGGACGCAGAGCTGGCGGCCAAGCTTGCCGAGAGCCTGCAGGCGGCCGGCTGCTGGAGAGCGAAGGCCGCTGCTGTGAATGGCGTCTCTTCACGCTCGCGTGGCTGCCAGCAGGCGGAGCTCATCATCGAGGAGCAGGCGGCGGCGGCGGCGGCGGCGGCGGCGGCGGCGGCGGCGGCGGCGGCGAAGCTGGCGGGCGGCGGCGGAGACGGCAGGGGCAAGAAGAAGAAGGGCAAGAAGAAGGGCGGGGGGGGAGGGGGGGGCGGCGGCGTTGGCGGCGGCGTGGCCGTCCTCGACGGCGGGTCTCGAGACGGGAGGCTGGAGGCGCCCGCCCACAAGCAGGCGCCGTGTCCTTCGGAGACACAAGCCTCTCTCACAGCCACACTGGCACGGCGAGGGCGTGGACGGGCGCGCGCTACCACACACGCACACACACGCACACACACACACGCACGCACGCACGCACGCACACACACGCACACACACACACGCACGCACGCACGCACGCACACACACGCACACACACACACACGCACACTCACACACACACACACATACACACGTCACACACTCATGCGCGGGCGCGGCGCGGTCGCGAACACACTCCGGGCTCGTCCACTTTTTATCCGCCGGCGGGGCCAAAAAAAAGGCAACCCGCACTGGCGTTGAGCGGGGGCTTTTTCCTCGACGGGAACTTCTTTCTTCTCTATTTCGCTCCTTACCGTAAGGGCCGCAACCTTGGTGAGGCCACCTCGGGGGCCAATGTCGGGGGCTTTTAAGAACAACGGGTTTCCTTGGGGGGGCGTCTCTCAAAAAATGCTTGAAAAAATGCCATTG